CCAAGGGACGTACATCAACTTTGGGATGGAAACGCCAACCTCCAAGTGCGAGACGACTTCCTCACCCGAGCACGCTGCGGAAGTGACCGTACACTTCGTGTTGAACGCATTCTCATCAGTACGGCTGACGGAGCAGGGGCACTTTCCCTAGAGACTTTGCTTTACACCCTTCAGCTAGAAGCACGGATCCTCCAAGGACTTCTGAATCATGGAGTCTCTTGCAACAACCTGAACTCGCGTCACTGTTTTGTTATCAGTCCCCTTTCCTTTTGGGAGCACGACGAGGAGCGTCTGCGCAGCGACATCAACATATCCCTAACAGTCACTCGCTCTGAAGGTGTCACAGCTTCCGGTATGCATGTTACACTGCCGATGGTCCTTACAGGGCGCGACTCCACACAACATAATCCTGCCACGCCTGACTCTGCAATGTTCCTGGCACTTACCTATGTATTCCCTGAGACGGGTTGTTTGAGGAGTGCCGGCCATGATTCTTGGCTACAAATCATCAAGAACTCGACACAGGAGAGCGCAGAAAGAGCGCATATGTTTGTAGTGACTGCGGAACCGAAGCTTATCGCGCTGGAGGTATGTGCATTACTATTGGTGGCTCGTGTGCCCATTCTCAATGTCTGCAGTACAACCATAGTCTATCCAAGACTACGGGAACTTCATCCATTTCAACGTTCTTATACCTCGCGTATGGTGCATTTTTTGCGTATGTCTCATGGTCAATGAAGCGCATGAACGGTGTGCACACTCGTATCGGTCTCACCTTCACGGCACTCGTTGAGATTGCGACAAGTACAATCACCAGTCTGAGTGTATGCGCATTGTTACGGTTTAAAGTGACCATGGTCCCCTGGTAACGTCTCATATCTTGTCTCGTCGTACAAGCACTTACCATAAACAGGAGTCTTCTCCCTATCGTTATCATCTTCGTTGGCGCAGAGAATATGTTTAATCTCGTGGATGCGGTGACCCGCACATCTATCACACTCCCTGTCAAAGAGCGCATCGCTGAGGGGCTGAGCCGTGCTGGAACCTCTAATACACTCAAAGTCGTGTCGTATAACTCCATTCTGGGCGTGATCGCCTTTTTCTCTGCTGGTGCAATCAGGCAATTTTGCACCTTTGCGGTGGTGGTCCTCGTTGCACATTGGTTCCTTGCACATACATTCTTCTTGGCGGTACTCAGTATTGATATACAAAGGCTGGAGGTGAGTTCACCTGAGCTTCTATACGTGGGTTGGTGCTGAAGTAGACGGGTTCAGCTTAATCAATTGCTGAGACAAGACCCGAGCTTAGTGCCCGCTGCGTCTGCTTCGACTCGTGATGCCTCACTGGAGAAAGATACGTCTAACTGGCAGCGAGCCACGCTCAATGTGAAGGAATCACTCAAAGGTCGCGCGTTGACAAATATCAGCTTGTTACTGGTATGTATATGAGTTTGAGTTCAATGTCTATGTGCTCATGGCCTTTCTAGCTCCTTGCAATCACTGCAACACTGTATATTATGACAAGACCTGCTACTCGTGAAAGCGAGGCAGGGTTCATCATTCCTTCCACCCTTCAGCAACGCATGCAAGCAGCTCATCGGCGCCCAGATTCGCAAGATCCTGCCTGGCATATTTGGAAGATGCTCAATCCCGATGAAGAGCCACTAGTTCATCTCCGTCTTGAAGTCCCGACTATTGTTGCGTTCCAGCCTGATACAGGGGCAGAACAGGTTTATGAGCATGTCCCTGGGCCTGCACGCCCCATCAACCTCGTTTTCTGGTTCTTTAAGTTCGTCATCTTACCAATTAGCGTGACGATCGCCACGCTTTATGGACTGCTACTATACCTGCTGAAAGATGCCGAGCTACTCGAGGCACAGCGGAATCGTGCAGAAGCTGATGCACCATCCCCCAGGGGTGAAAAGCCACTCAATGGAGAAGCCTCTTTCAAGACACTACCGCGCGCTTTTGCGACCGATGTCGAGCTGCTTGCATCAAGCAAAGACTGCGAAGTGATAGCTGCAGTCGGACTGCAGAATGAGCTTAGCATATGGCACTTCAACGACCCGAACCCTGTCCTCATTGATACAAGCGACATTTTGCTGAGTACAAGCAGTACATCGTTTTCGCAGGAGCGAATAGTTGCAATCGCCTTAGATGACGCAGGAGAGTATTGTGCTATAGGGACGACGCATGGGACAATTGGAGTATGGTTCATGGCGGGGAGGAGCGCAAGACTATATGCGACCCTTACGCAGCCCTCGATCTCGGCAGGGATTAGGGAAATGCATTTCGCACCCCCACTCCAATCAGTGTTGAAGCAGAAGAACGGGCCGCAATCTCGTCCGTGTACACCTCCGCCAGGTCCTCCTCAACCAGAGCCCCTCATTGTCGTGTATGAGAATGGAGATATTGCCCAATGGGTCATGGATGATCACGCGTCGGCGTCATTCATCTCTCCAATATCGTCTGGGCCTATCTTGCAGAGCCGTCTTCTCCGTGTTCGCTCAGATGACCGGATATTGGCAGCGTTCGTGTTGGCAGATGGAGCTCTGGAGCTGCTCGGCGTATGCGAAGCTCGAAGTGCTGTGCCAATCCGCTGTGCGCTGCAATCGGGAAACTCAGCGGACCGTGTCAGCATGGTGGATGCGTGTAAAGTCAGGTTAGATGGCAGGGATCACATAATTATTGGCATCGTTTCAGAAGCTGGCGTTATTTCCCTGTGGGATGCTGGGTCCTCAGAGTGCATCTTCATCCTGGAGGAGAATCATGGTGCTATCGACCAACTGCGGATATCCAACTCTCGTATCGTGAATTGCCAGTTCTGTGGCGAACCGCCCATGGACAGCTTCATGGTCTCTGTTTCGATTGGGCATCATGTGATTTTCTATAAGGTTTACATCACATCGCAGGGAAGGAGATGTACGTGCCCTCGAAACAATCCACAGCAGTCGACCATCCTGGAGCTGGCTACGGGTCGGCGCTCACGGAGTAGCAGTATAGCCTCAACTACAGGGCCATCCTTGGTGACATCCACGCGGAGGTTATCCTCTGCTAGTACTGCCTCTGCACCAGACACCTCAGCATTTCCTGTTTCTGGCCACGGGATTCTTTCCCGCAGAGCCTCAGAAAAAGGACTCCGTCGCCTCTCGGAGAGCTACGTGCTACCCCATTTAACAGATGAGGATGACGAAGAACATTCCATCCTAATCGACCCACCAATAGTATCTCGTCCGTCAACGTGGTCCAACGTCGCCGTTCTAAGAGCGGGCGAGGCGGCGTGCGAGCGGGGGGGCTGGGATATTTCAGGTGAAAAAATAATAGGCGTTCGCCGCATATCCCGGACGCACACAAAAGGCTCATTCCAGCTTCCACCTTCGTCGACATCACGTGGACTAACATCCGCGGTTCTAGACCGGTGGGAGGTCTGGCTATTCGATACTGGTGTCTCAAAGACGCGAACTGCTACTATGTCGAGCCTAACTGACGAACTCCCTCTTTCTCTCCGTCGGTTCTTCCTTCCTTCGATGTACCTCAGTCAGCCACCCTCACCGACTGCGATGCCAGAAGAGTACCCCCGCATTCCATTCACGAGAGTGTCGCCCTTCCTTGCAATTCGTGGAGCTGCAATGGCGGGCTTTGGGAATACTGTTGGGCTCTTCCATGTTTCATGATGTTTATTGCGTATGGATATCTTTACATGGTGCATTTGTGGTGGATGTTTGTTATCGAAGTGCAATATGTCTTATTTACTGTAACTCTTGTTGTGATAGGATCCGGCTGGGTCTTGTATATTGTACTCGTTTGAATAATCATGCACTAAATCAACATCTGACGAGCGAATGCTACCTTCCCCACCTGGAACAGCCAAGGACTACATTTGACACGATTTGCAAGTTATTGTTCTTCTGCTCGACGCCAATCGTCCTCGCCATTAATATTTTTGCCTTGGTCACAAGGGCTATGCTTGACTCGGACGAGGAGCTCGAGCATGGGATCGACATCGATGCATTGTCGTTCACTAGTTCACATGTCCCTCCCGTGAGCCTGACTCATACCCAGGACTCCGCATCCATCGTCTGCCAGTTGAACCTCTACAGCACATATTCTTGTTCATCGTGAATGACTCGGACGTGCCTGAGACCGTCCTAGTATTTTCTCTGCCAATTTTGCCAGCCCTCCCTGGGTCTTCACTCGCCGGGTGTGCTGTCTTTGGCGAGCCATTGCACTCTCAACGGCAGGGGTCCGGTTGCGCGTCCAGGTAGCGATACAAGGAATTGCGCCCGTTCCTTCTGCACCCACTCTAATTCTGGCTTGCTTGCTCTGGCTGTGAGCTTCTCACCCTTCGTACCTTTGAATGCGTGCCGCCGATAGCATAGAGCTACTCACAACTTGAGGAGATTGTCAACTGCTCAGGGTCCTCCTTTCTGCGCGTGACCGTTGGGAAAGTGGTGCTACGAGAAAGCTTCTGCTCATATCATACGCTCCACTCCGGTGATTTTCTCTCGTCGGGAGACTATTATAGTGGACGCAATCAAATCAGATGTTAATGAAGTTACACGAAGTGATTCGGTGCTTGATTCTTCCCTCGGAGCAATCACTCTCCCCCTGTCCTCGGATAACTGGCTTGTGTTTATCAAGATATTCGATGGATCTCAGCTTCCCATGCTGCAGAAATTGACCGTAGTAGGAACATCAAACAAACCGGAAGTTGACTGCATTCTGGCGGCGCTGGCAGTTGATGATCTTGTCGCGGGCAGGTGGTAGCCTTTCAGGCGCGGCGCTGCTCGACTTGCCGAAAGAAGCCATCGATCTAGCTATCGTTAAGCGGCTGCAGTTGTGAATTGTATTCTGGCGACGCCAAACGAAGTCGGTGTGAGTATCGTTGAACTGTTGTTCTCAGTTGCGAGGGAGGTTATTGTCCGTGGGTAGTGTGCCACCATCGAGCCGCGTGCCATTGCTCATACAAACCTCGTTTGGTCGACCAGTAGTTGAAACTTGCTTCAAACAGGTGGCAGGAATATTATAAGTGCTGTCAAATAGCAATAGTGAGAACAACAACTAGTGTGTGTTAATCGCGCTACTTGATCATCTCCAATATTCTCAAATAATCTTCTCGTAGGCTTTGGAATGTCTCCTCCAGTTTCTCCAATCGTTCCTCCTTCTCTAATTGGGCCAATATTTCCTGTCGTTGAGAGGACATCAATTAAAGGCGAGGTGAAGCTGGTGGCGGACCTACGAAGTTGAAACGGTATAACCGCTCCTTGACCTGCAGTCGATATGCTCTTGCGCCCTGAATGTCGGTGGGGTTGAGATGCATCAAGATTAGCATTTCCATAAGCCGCTGCCATTGACGCTAGGAAAACTCAGAATAATGATTAGAGTAACTAAATTCAGGACTTACCCCCGCCACCTTGAGTTGTGTCCGAAACGTCTCAGACCAAGCTTTATCTATCGGGGGACCCATTTTCCCGGTGCCTTTCACCATACCGGATGAGGCACCCATCGGGTTTGCTCGAGCGCGAGTGTTCCGTTTTCGTACCTTTCCTCCACCGTGCGAAACAGTTTCGTTGCCAAAGCCTTCTTTCATGAAATTCTCATTGGCGAGGAGCATCCTGAGGTCATTTCGATCTCGTAGATCCTCAAATGCCTCGGCGGGATCTTCCACTGTCAACTCAGATATGAGGGGGGTGAGGAGGGAGTAGTTGTAGATTGTTTTGTACAGCTCGGCTTCAAAAATTTGAGTATGAATAGAGGTGGAGGGTAAGAGCATTAGTACTTACATCCATGGCCTTGGTGTTGGTACGGTGGTACAATTACAAATTGACTGTGCAAACCATGTATTGATTATGTAGGCCCACTTCGCAAAGGAAGCACGCACCTAAGACGAAGACGGTGTTTTTCGGGAAAGCAGTAGAATTTGTACACTGATGAATACCCAATGAAATGGTATGTCTTCGTGCCATTTTGCCGCTTGCGTTTTTCATACCTGTTTGCGCGCGGTTAAATAGTCTGATAGATACGAGTGAGGAACTGACAACACAAAAAATTCCCAAGCGTCGTCGTCTTCACTGATGTAGGAGCCTGCTTCAATGTATAACAGAATGAAAATCTGCATTCGCCTATGATATTCTCTGAATCCCGGATCGTTCCATGTCGCCTGCACACGCCTCAGTAAAATTTGATAGCAGAAAGTGCTCATAACACTCACATGATACACCTCGTACTCGACTACTTCCCGAGTGGCAGAACTGGATCCTGACGTGCTTGGCGCGGGTCGAGTATAAGTATGTATGACGTTGCCTATAGGCTTGAAAGAAACTGCATCTTCTTGGACGCGTGTGAGAAATGTTGCTTCGTCTGTATCGTAGTCTGAGGTCCAAAGTTAGTCACAGAGTAGCAGGTATGAGAAGTGGAACGTACCAGGGGGTATGAACTCTTTTAATATGCCTTCCACATTGTCCACGGTCGTAGACGCATCTAGCTTTTGGGCGTAGCGGACAGATAGGTATTGTGCCAGTGAACCGGAGGCAAATCGAAGCTGCAGGCCACCGGTTGGATGTTCAGCGCCGGTGTCGACTCACGAATGAGGTATAACGCACGTCAATTACCAAGTCTTGGTAACCATAAATCCTTTCATCCTCTCCGTAGATCTGGACAGCATGACAGCGTATCACGGGAGAATGCGTAATAAGAAAAAATAAAAACGTACAGGGTAAGTAAATGTCGGATGAAATTCTTCATAAGTTTCCTCGCCTCCAAGCACCTGTTTATCCTCTTCTGCTCGGACTGCACGAAGCGCGTTAGTTATGCTCGAGTTGGCGCATAGTGACCCACCTAGCGAAAGAGTGAGAGCCTCATTTGCATCTGCTGTCCAGTCTATCGTTGTCATTTTTTCAACAGATCGAAGCCTGTAGGTTCTAACTCGCTAGGGCCTAATAACCGCCTACTTCAAGTTAGCGATCGTTGGCAAATGTAACCCGTGACGCGTTGTGTATCCGTCTTTGTCACTCAACACGTGACCCGCAACTTTCGATGACGCAGCATTGACGCAGTAGGATGACTGAGCAGCAACTGAGCAGGGCCTATAAAATTAGAGTGCAGACGAGCAGTTGCTCGTCCAATTCCTTAAGGTGGCCCCTTTATTTCAAGGCGCGCTATTCGTTGCGAAAATCGCAACATCCCAATCCTTAGTGCACCCACAGGCATCGCAGCGGCTATTTCAGGTAATGCTGGGACTCCCATGATAGGCTATGATAGCCTTAGGTCACTTGAATATCTGATCTGATCTTGTTCCTCCACCACAGATATCAAGATCATTCTCGAATACCAGCACTAATATGGCACCACTTAAACTGCAAGGCAAATACGACTACATCTGCATAGGTGGTGGAAGTGGAGGAGTCGCATCATCGGTGTGTCATTTCAACAAAGTGATCGTGTAGAGATACTGACCACCCCCACCCCAGCGTCGCGCTGCATCTTATGGAAAGAAAGTTGCCCTCATTGAATCATCGCCGTACCTCGGTGGTACTTGCGTGAATGTTGGCTGCGTTCCCAAAAAAGTGTGTCATTCCCTGCTTCTCATTTCTTACCCCCTGACTATGGGTGGTACAGATCATGTGGCATGCGGCCGACCTCGCAGACCGTCTCCGCCATGCAAGCAAAGGGTACCATTTCGAAAATGTCCCACCGCCCCAGTTCAACTGGGCATCCTTCAAACCGCAGCGTGATGCCTACATCCGCCGGCTGAATGGCATATATGAGAAGAACCTCGAAAAAGAAAAGGTGGACTATTATGGTGGCACAGCCCGTCTAGTCTCGCCCAACGAGGTTCAGATCACGCCGTCCGATGGTGGCGAGCCATATGTCATTGCAGGTGACTACATCACCGTTGCTACTGGAGGTCGCCCTACTGTACCAAGTGACGATGAGATCCCTGGGGCGAGTCTTGGAATCGATTCGGATGGCTTCTTTGACCTTGAGGACCAGCCGAAGCGCGTGGCTGTTGTCGGCGCAGGATACATCGCTGTTGAGCTCGCCGGTGTACTCAATACGCTAGGTAGTGAGACACATATCCTCATTAGGCGCGAACGCGTCCTCCGCACCTTTGATCCCATCCTCCAGGATACACTTACACCTTGGATGGAGCACACTGGAATTAACATCCACAAGAATGCATCGGTCATCAAGGTCGAAGGCCAGAAGGGTAGTGAATTGACTGTGCACCTCAACGATGGCACACAACTCAAGGTGGATTGCGTGCTGTGGGCTATTGGACGACACGCAAACACCGAGGGTCTGGGTCTCGAAGAGCTGGGCATCCAGCTCAACAAGAGGGGCGATGTAGTTGTCGATGAATTTCAGAAGGCCTTGTTTGTACAGAGCAAGCCTCAGCTGGACAATATCTTCGCGGTCGGTGATATCCAGGGTAAGGCACTCTTGACGCCTGTCGCTATTGCGGCAGGTCGGCGACTGTCAAACAGGCTGTTTGGGCCTGAGAAATTCAAGAACGACAAGTTGTCGTATGAGGACATACCAACGGTCGTTTTTTCGTGAGCATACCGCTCCTTTTGTCAGAAGTGCTCGTTCAAAGCGCATATATAGTCACCCCACCATCGGGACAGTAGGCCTAACGGAGCCCGAAGCTCGCCAGAAGTATGGCTCTGCTGTCAAGATCTGTGTGTCTGCATTCTTTCTGTTCGAAGGCACAAAAATATTCATTGCAGCATAGACAAATCGTCGTTCCGTTCGCTTTACTTCTCTCAAATTGAGGAAGAGCACAAGGAGCCTACGGTGTACAAGCTCATCGTTGTTGGCGAAGAAGAACGTGTAGTTGGCGTACATATTATTGGACAAGGAAGCGACGAGGTATTGCAAGGCTTTGCAGTGGCTGTCAAGATGGGAGGTGAGTACTTTCTATTGTCTTATGTTTCAGTTGATAACTGATGCGTCTGTTAAGCCCGGAAACAGGACCTAGATGATACGGTTGCTATTCATCCAACGTCTGCTGAAGGTAAGTAAGCTCCACTTTACTTGGATTTGACGTGCTGACGGGTGCACGCAGAACTGGTTACACTTCGTTAAGCCAGCCATGCTAGTGGGGTTCGGGAATCACGCAACATAAAGTCATGTGTACTTGTAGAATATAAAATTTACGATTTTCAACAGCGGAAGCTTACCGATGAGGAGGAAACAAGTCGGATGATCTTCATCTCGTCAACCCACCTTCACAACTCCGAAATATGGACTGATAAGTCCTGCCATTGTATTCTCTCGAAAAAATCTACATTTTTCAGAGTATGCGAGCGGCGGATTACAAGTATTGGTAAGGTCAAAACGTTACGGCGATGAAAAAAGGCGTTCGCCATAATCTAATGACCGGTACATACCTCAATTCATTGCACTTACAATTATCGCTCCAATGAGAAGGTGGCATCGGAAATATTTATCAGATCTTTGGAGACAATGATAACTACACAGTAGTCATCAGGCGCAACCAGCCAGAACCAAACCCCGATGCACTGGGGCGCAAAAGGGTCGACGTAGGAAAAGTGGTTCTACTAGTATATACTAGCTTGAGACGTGCCTCGCAGGCGTACTAGGAGGACCGGTCGAACTATAGATCGCCCGATCATGAGTGACCTCGATTTTCGTATGATACATGGCTGAAGCTTGCATATCGAGAGAAGGCCCTGGAATTCAGTTGCAGTTCTTTATTCAGTATGCTTACGAGGGCAGATGACAGAGAGATGATTCAGATCCTACTACAGGCATATACAGATGCATACTAGTAGTGCATACTAGTAGTACATGTGAGCCTGTATGGACCTGTATTTTTCAACCGATCTCTGTATATCAACCTGTATCGAATTAAGCTCAGCATAGCAAGCCTGTATCAAGCTGTATTATAAGGCTTAGATTGATTGCAATGGCAAAACTAACGAGCATGACAGGACATGTGCGTTACGAGGCGTGTAATACTACAGACTCGGGTACAAATTTAAGCAATTGTGTGCGGTTCCACCATCTCACCCCCCATATCTGCATGAACATCTGATGGGCCAGAGACGGGCGGTGTGAGAGCACAGGGGACAGATAGTGTAGTGCTTGACCTAGGAAATGCGGTCTGATTCATGTTTGTTGGGAACGAAGTGTAATTATTGGCGGAGTGACAGTGATTATGGAGATGGTACTACACGGTGGAAGATAGTGACAAAGATGAGACTTCTTTCTTCTTCGAGGGACGTGCTTGAGGAGAGATTGCAACAGTGACTGGGTCACTGGGGCCACTTTGATGAGCTTGCAGTTGACAGTCTTGAATAGCTGGTCCGAGCTTCATGTTCGCGTCAGTTTTCTCTCGCTCCACAATGCCAGCCCGGTTGTCGTCTTTGGGGCGGGATGTCCATTGAGGATAGTGTCGACTAGAAAAGGTATCTATTTTCCAATGTCTGTCGCAAAGCCGGAAGTAGCACAAATGCTTGACACATTGTGAGACGAACGAATTCAAGGGCACGAAGGCGCGGCCAATATCAGCTGGCATCCATGTTGCGGGAGCAAGACCATGATGATCAAGTAGTGTTCGCCAGGCCGCATGAAGCTGACTGCGCATCTTTTGCAGTTCGGATTCAGAAGCAGCAACACCACTCGAGTTAGTGCGCTGCTGTATTCACGTTGTGTGCCACATCAGAATTTCGTTGTGAGTAAGTCCAAGTCAACTCAGCACGTGTACTATCCCTGGCTGACTCAGCGTAGAGTAGTAGGACGTCAATGAACGACCGTAGTAGCCTTGAACAACACTGGGTGTCACGACCTTTAGAGAGGTATCACTTACTGGAATACATGCTGGCGCGGCCACTTATACAGACGCCCATCCAGCGTGGGACGTACCGGTCTCGGTTGGTCTCGGCTTTCCAGTCCTGTAACGATAGGACTATCAACTGAATATAATTCACATTCTTTGGCTATTCGTGACCGTCACTTTGACTCGCTTACGAGGGCGAGACTGAATATTGAGAAGGCATGGAGGACGATCCGAGGTATGAGCGCATTGTGTTCGGTGTCGCTTTACTGAACTTCTTGACCGTGCTGCAGGGTAGAGGACTTGCCAGATGACTTAACACCCTTGATTACTCGAACAACTGTGGACCACGTTACCGGAGGTGCATTTGGCGATGTTTGGAAATGCAATTACAATGCAGATGGTATTTCAGCCCTCGTTAGTAGTCAGTGTTGGATACACCATGGAAGTGGCTGACCCTCATCCATCGCTCAGGTTGCGATCAAGGCCTTCAGGTTTTCAGGGAGGGATGATTTAGAGACGATCAACAGGGTGAGCGATGGTACTGTGATCAATACATCCAAAAACACCCGTACTCAGGCTATTTGAATCATCCAGAATATTAGCCGAGAAATTGGCATTTTGAAGATTCTACGCCATAACAACATTGTACCGTTGTGGGGTATAGCGACAGGATTTGGACGAATGCCAGAGTTGCGCTGTTTGGTGTCTCCGTGGATGCCAAACGGCACGTTGACTGCCTACCTAACATCTAACCACGACGATCTAACAGTCCTGGACCGTTCGCGTATGGTGAGCGAAGTTCTCATTCTCCTCCTTTCACCCTTGCGAGACTCAGTCAAAATTGAAAGCTAGAGGATGTCAGTGCTGGACTTCGTTACTGTGAGTTTCCATTTCGTTTCTCAGGATGTTCGAATACTAGCCTATCTTTGGTGCAGTGCATTCCGAGTCGGTCATGCACGGGGATATAACAGGGGTAAATTCGGCTTTGCTGAGGTAGTTTATTCTTAAGAACTAATGAACCTGCAGGCAAATATACTGATTGACAAGAGAGGCCATGCAAGGCTGATTGATTTCGGTCTTTCCACCATTGTCCGACCCCTTCTCGGCCAGTCGCATTTGGCTATATCATCCGTCCGTCCGGGTGCAATCCGCTATGCAGCACCAGAACTCGTTCTACTAGATAATTCCCGTGAGCTGCCGGTGCCTTTGGAAAAAGCTGATATCTACTCCTTTGGTTGTATAATGCTTCAAGTGAGTTATTGATTCGATCCCAAGATAATCGTCCAAGGGTTGACTAACCAGATTCTCTCGGGTCGACGGCCTTGGTCTGAGATCTCGGGGGAAACACTCATCATCGTTGCAATGTCACAAGGCCGTGGACCGCAACGCCCCGATGGTCATCCTGCCATAATAGACTTGGATTGGGAGTTCATCCAAAAATGTCTGCAATTCGGACCCGAACCTCGACCTTCAGCGGAAGACGTGCTTAACTTTGTCATGCATAGGTTTTACTCCCCAGGTAATCTTGCATAGTTCGTGGTGCTTTGCCAACCATTCACTTATTCGAGCTTCAAGGTTCTTCTAGACCGCCTGACGACCCCCCCGATGATACGCAAGACAACTCCCCTGAAACTTCCCCGCATGGTAATTCTTATGACTCGAATGAAGAATCGTACTCGGTTGAGGAGGAATCATTCCCTGAGAGTCTACCGCTCTACACTGGTTTCTCCACCCGTGGTCCAACACCCAGTAAGTTGTCAGTAGAGCAATTCTTGGTGCTTCTCATCAAAATCACATAGGCGGCATGACTTACAGCTATAGCATAACGCGCAATCGCACTAGGCTCAGAACCTTCGAAAAGGCGCCGGGAAACTTGGATAGAGATGGTAGGAAACATGCAGGGCGGACGGGGCAAACGGAGCAGATAGAGCGGACGGGACAGATGGATGTATCGGGGTCACGATGCTCTGATGAAGATCAAGGAGGTGTGGACTCCCAAAACTAATCATACATATATATTGGCGCGCGAGTTTGAAGTTTGAGTCCTTGGATGACCCGTATTTATGACACCCAACAGGTGAAGCCACTATTTTTGTCTTAATGTATCGGATACTCCCTAGACTGTTGCACCGCTGTCCGCGTGCGATGTAAATGGCAGGAAGGCCCGACAGGCTGAGCCACAATATCTAACTCGGTAGTGACACACCAATGTTCTTTCCTTCTGGGTTCGCTTGACCGATGGCTACAAAATGTTGAACGTGCGCATGTCGAGAAGTCTGCCGCCAAAGTTGGGGCGCAAGACGAGATGTAAAGACGAGTGAAATTATGGCTCTTCGGCTCGTAGGGTCCTGCTGCGCAAAGAGGTGAACTCAATGATAGGACCATCATATATGTGAGCCACGAGAAGCGTTCCCAAGGACTTGGAGTATGGAGCCCACTACTTACGCCATCCCAGAGCTTGCGTAAAACATTCTTGTAAGTTGTAAATGGGACAAGGAGACACTGCACCATAGGAGGCGCCTTGAATCAGGACGGTTGGTTCGAGACTGTCCGGATGGTATAATAATAATACATTTAATGCACAGGGAAACGATGTTGTTAACATTTCCCCACAATAGGGTCCGCGAAATCTGAAAGCAAATCACAGCTTGCTCAGATCTCTCCGTACCTTGAAATCGCACCCGGTCTTCGCCTTGACTTCTTCAAGTGTTACGCCCTCCTGGAGCTCAACAAGCTCGAGGTGGCCATTCTTTCTGTCGACGTCGAAAACGGCCAACTCCGTGATGATTTGACTGACAGTACGGGCACCCGTAAGCGGAAGAGAGCATTTCTTTAAGATCTTCGGAGTGCCGTCTTTCGCACAGTGCTCCATCACCACTATAACCTTCGTCTTGTCAGGATTAGACACTAAGTCCATAGCTCCTCCGATGCCTAGCAATGTGATCGACAGTGAGAATGCACCGGAAGACGGAATGGCGAAAACACATCCAGATCACGTACCTTTAACCAATTTTCCGGGAATCATAAAGTTAGCAATGTCACCTGCCTGTGACACCTGCATAGCCTATAAGATAAGCCAGGATATTGTGAGATTATACAGGAAACAAGTGTGTGAAAATGCTCACGCCAAGAATGGAAACATCGATGTGACCGCCGCGAATCATAGCGAATGATTCACTCGAGTCTAGCAGTAGAGTCAGCAAGTGAAGCTGGATCATGCAACAACCATTTGAAAACATACCGAAGATCGAGGCACCGGGGAGCAAGGTCACAGTCTCCTTGCCCGCATTGATGAGATCCCTACAAAGAGAGGCTTAGTATGAGGAACACTTCCTGGCAGCACTACTCACGGATCCACCTCCTCTTTCGTACTAGGGTATGGCCCCATACCGAGGATGCCATTCTCGCTTTGCAGCCAAACGCTCACATCGGGCGCGAGGTATCCGGGAACAAGAGTGGGCATGCCAATACCGAGATTTACGTAGTATCCATCTTTGAGTTCTTTGGCAGCCCGCTTTGCAGTACGATGGCGCATTTTCTGGGCGTGTTCTTGCTCAGGTGTCAGAGTGGACGGTTCAGCAGATGATGATGGGCTTGGCGCGAGCGTGATATACTCTATCCGTTTTGGCTCGGTGGACTGAACAATTCGATCAACGTAAATGCCGGGAATATGGATGGCACTTGGTGAAAGAGACCCAGTAGGCACAATTTCGTCTGCCTGAAAGGAACGCATCAACTTCTGGAAAGCTACCACAACACCCCGACTCACCTCCACTATCGTAAGTTTTGCGTTCTTCGCCATGACTGCACTAAAGTTCTGCTGAGCGTACCTACATGAACCATCATGCTCAGCACCCAGGTGGGCAACGAAAACGACATCCTGTTTCCTCACCGGAAAATACAGTTCCCAACCTCATCGACTTTCCATGCGTGAACGAAAGCGACATCACCAGCAATGGCCGGTTCCATGATATACTTGCGACCTCCGAATTCCCGTGATTCTTTCTTAATACCTGGTATCTTGACTCCATTGACAAACCCTCCTTCGTTGTATCGTGTTGGGATAGCACCTTCCTCTACTGCTGTTGATGCTCCCGTAGGGGTGAAGAAAGCTGGGATACCAGCGGCATGGGCACGGAGACGCTCGACGAGTGTACCTTGGGGACATAGCTCCAAAGACACCTCGCCCTTGAGATATAGAGCCTCGAAGGCCTTGTTTCTGAACGGACAGACAGTCTATCTCGCGCCGGCCCCGACGAGATGAGTCACTCACCCTCCAGGGTATGAAGCGACGACCTTATCTATCTGCTTGCTGTTGAACAACTTTCCTATGGATATTTGTGAGGTTCACGGATCACGGACAGTTGTGGATAAACAAACCAAGTCCGGAGTCGCCTGCGCCAGCATTATTGGAAACTCCCGTTAGCTTTGTAACGTCCTTGCGCTTGACCAAGGCGGAAAGCAGCGTGTCTTGTTGTATCCTAGCTTAGTTACACCGCTCAATATCCACTCTCTGTCGAGACTCACCCGGCACACCAGCCAAACCAAAACCTGGGTATTGCATGCCAGAACATCACACATCTGGTATAAGAAATGGAATGCGACGATACTCACCACCACACAAAAGGACATCTCCTGACTTCACATCCTTAACTGCTTCGTCGACAGACTTCCACACCTTCGACTTATTGGGTAGTGGAAGTTCCGTAGGAGTACTGTACCATCTTGCTCTGAGGAAGACGGTTGCACGAGGTTTGAAAACTGAGACGAGCGTCGCTCTCGAAACGCACGTAGCCAACATGGATGCGGTACAAGTCTCTGGTGTTCTTTCCCCGGATCATGGATAATGTTATAAGTGTGTTTGGTTGGTCACATGCCCACAGCGTTTCAATGAGCACGAGCGTATTCGGAGTACCGAACCCCGCATCCCGACGAAGCTCCGGCGGTATGATTCTGTTCCAGGACGGATGTATAAGTGTAGATGGGCCAGGAATAAACAAATTTTAGTGTCGCGTTCCCTCAACCACACCTACAATTATATCCAGTTACTTATACAAGTTTGTATCTAAGTTGTCATCACTACTGCACATTTGGAACGGTTACGGTTTACAATCTTTCTTTCGCTCTCATCGTCTCCTCACAGGGCCTTTCGGTTTCGCGAATGAGGGTTTTGCAGGGTCATCCTGCCGAGCACCATTATTATTGACAATAGTACCTGCGGGTCCATCATGGTTGAGACCAGCCTTGAGGAAGGCCTCATCGAGTTCCGCTGGGTCCGACGTTTCAAACCTCTTTGTTGCAAGCGGGAATATTGACCCAGTTTCCGCCAAGAAATCCTTCGCCGCGAGATAAGTTGACACTGCCGCTGATGAATAGAGCATCCTGTATCGAACAGGTGACCCCGTAGGGCAAGAGTATATGAAGACTAGGGATGCCAGTTAGACGTATTACGTGCGATGCAGCGGGAGAAATGACACAAACCGATATCTCCGCCTGCCTGAGAATACGGGTTTGTCCATGCATAGAATACATATGCTAATAAAAGAACGTGAGCGTAGCACATGAAGTACGATCGCAGTGCAAGGAGCGCGTACATGGTTCGTCACTTGGTATCATCGAGCTCAAATTATCCACTGTTACATCTGCAAAAGAGTCCAGCTCAAGCGACTCGGTTGATGGCTCGATTTTCTGAAACGATGGGTGAATACCTCGCTGGATGTAATCAATAAGGAGACGGACCAATATGACGACCCGACTGTCATTTCGCGAGCCAAGCTCCTTCACAACATCCTCAGCATTCGAAGACCAAGACAGGCCTACACGTTGACCAATGTGGTTCTTTCTTGCATTGCTGCCTTCATAACTGTTTCCAGCTTCTCGTTCGGCCGCCTTGATATTTTCCATCTCTTGCTCCCGCGCGCTCAGAGGTTTGGGTGCAGCCTGGTGCCTCTTGTGAGCCTCATAGGCTTCAGATGTCACGTCCGCTTTGCAGGTGGCAAATATACTGTCCGTGAAAACAGTCGAGCCCAGTGACTTAGTCAAAGAACTCCGTGTTGAAGCATACAGTGTCTGAGCTGATCAGATTGAGTTCAACAATATCAACAACAATACCTACCTTATCCCGGACGTTGGCAAAATCTGGCACATAGCTAATCGCAAGCCATTCTGAAGGAGGGTCGTCGAGACGGGCCAGGATATAACATGGTTCCTTGTCTTCAAGATATTCTTGAAGTTGTACCAGATCCTCGTTTAAGGAATCGGCGACTGGCAAAGAGGCTACAGAAACGAGAGACTCTGTCTAATGGTATGAGATCACCAATGATGCAGACAGGTAAACTAGTACAGACCGTCCTGAATGATGACTTTGATGAATCGAACATTCTTTGTCTCGACAGCATTGGAGAATGCTTTTGTTAGGTTGGGGGAGACACCAATTCCAGAGGTAGCGGCCATCGCGTTGGGGTGGTTGTAAATTGAACCGAATCTTTGACTGAATCGAGTCGTTTGAATTGGCGGTCCTTATAACCCGTTTGGTGTTTGTATTGCTCGAGGCAAGGCTTGCTGCGGTCAAGTCGTCAGACTCGTCACGTCAAGGAGGATCTCATTGTCAAGCACCGCACTGATCTATAAAAACTACTTGGTGATTGCTCTCACTAAACTTGCAACTGCTGGGAATCGGGATGAACACCATTGACACCGAACCGGCGGTAACTTATTCGTGCTTATTAAGCACGCATTTCCGTTCGTGTCCACCCTGTCATATGGCTGTGCAGCGCTGACGACATGGAACGGCGGAGACCCGTGAAGGGGATAGATATCGATGAACCATAACACGGAAGTAAATCCTCGTGAGTCTCATCTATGTACATCGATCCTTACTAATAGTTCATCTGCTGCCAGTGCACAGGGTGTTTATCAAGTTAACGACCATGTCTCTCCCCTCTCCAGCAGCAGATCAAGCTTATATGAACTTTGTCTCCGCCCTCGAGGCGGAAAGTTTACGTGTGCCCCTACAGATCGTCGTCGATGGGTCATCCCCAACGGATGCTATTCGAAATCCCTCACCTGCATTCTTGCTCTGCCGCTCAAAGGGTGGTCAATGTCATCAAGTTGTTTTCGATCTGAGGATACGTCGAGATAGCTTTCTACCCTGGAGTTGTGCCAGCAAAACATGATCGTCAGAGAAATGTGACATAGCACAGCCGATTTTGTCAGCCGCCACTTAATTAGATGGTAAACATTATTCTACCGAACGAAATTGCACTCCCTCCGCGGTAACTTTGTTGAGATTACAAAGGTCATTCGTTGTAACTGCGTGCAACTGAAGATACGGCGGGAATTGGGTACTTGAAGTCGATATCCCTATATTCCGAGAGGGTATATAAATGGGTGTGAGCATTTTGCCACTCCGCTTCCCGTCATCGATCAAGCCAGGACAATGGCATCGACTGGGCTGATGCTTCCTCCGCCCAGTGTAGACCAACCTTTCATGCATGTGTCGGCACTCGAGGGAGGAAATATTCGCATCCTCTGCGATTTGGTTGTGGACGGCAACTCACAGGGAGAGTCTATCTCGTGTCCATCTCTTGCCTTCTCACTACAACACTCCAAGACCAAGTCATGGGCTGTCTTCGACTTAGGTATACGGCGCGACCTCGAAGGATACACTCCTCTCTCCCAGGAACGCATCAAGGCCATGAAGTTCGACCCTGTTGTGAACCAGACAGTCGCGGAGTCACTGGTTAAGGGAGGCGTTTACCCTCATCAGATTGAAACTGTCATCATTAGCCACTTGCACTGGGATCAGTGAGTGTTTTGGAGAGCTGACAGATCCAAAAAAAATTCAACTGTTCTTTATTAGCATCGGGGACCACGAGCCATTCACCAGAGCTACATTTGTTGTGGGAGAAGGGTGCAGGGAGCTCCTGACTTCAGGATATCCTATAGACCCAAACTCCCTCTTCTCTTCGACCGCTCTTCCGCATGAACGCACTAAGTTTCTTCCTCTATCCGACTTCAGTGTCCCCATTGGACCGTTTCCGCTTGCATTGGATTTTTTCGGCGATGGCAGCATGTATGTGATTGATGCGCCAGGTTTGTGGTATGGAAATCTTTACAACATATAACCTAACAAGTCAGCATTATAGGGCACATAGGAGGACACATCAACATACTCGCGCGCACCTCCTCAGATGGCGCGTGGATTCTCCTTGGAGGAGATTCCGCTCACGACTACAGATTGATTACGGGCGAGAAAGAGGTCGCACATAGTATTGATTCATCAGGTCGCGTCTGGTGCATGCATGGAGATAAGGATAAAGCGGTGGAGAATATCGCAAGGATCCGGTCGCTGTTGGGAATTCCGAGAGTGCAGGTATTGATTGCTCACGATTCGAAGTGGTATGAGGAGAACAAAGGGTCTGCGGCCTTCTTGCCTGGTACCATACCGCCATTAGCTGCATGAATATCAGTGATCAATTTACTTGCAACTGTCCTTTTCAAGGAGCGCGCAAGGCTTCTTCCATCACTTCATACGAAGTTGTGCGGAACGATATTGTGAGCCTAGAAGATTACTAATTTACAGCTATACTTACATCCTGGACGTACGATTCCGAAGGACACGTGATCAAGAACGCGAAGACAACTCACTAGTGTACGGCGAATTTCGAATCTTCCGACATTCACAGGGTAAATTCACAATGCGCCCAGAGGCCCTCAGATTCACCAGCGTAAATTACGGTAAATTTACAAGGCTGTCAATTAACGCTAATTTACCGTGAATTTGAACAGTTGTACGTGAATTTGGGTGAATCACTCCCACAGGTTCCAATCAGAAGGAGCAGGTAGAGACCTGGACGAGCTTTTGACCGCAGTCTTCTTGATGGGCGCAGAAACAGACTGCGAAGCTTGTTTGCTAACCCTTGAATAGTTTTTTTTACCATTTGATTTTGCAGTGACCTTTGCTGCAGGTTTCGCAGCCGCCGCACAAGTTGGCAAGTGCGTTGTGGTGAGTCTGCAGTCATAAATAGTATGCTGTAAAAATTAGCTCACCATGATACCAGCGGATGCGAATGCAGCTTTTGCCGCTGTTGTGAGATCATCAACCCATTTGACGAGGAGTATGGTCTCTGGGGAATTGTGGTGTTCGATTAGGTGGGATTCGAGTACATCCACTACAGCCTCGAGCCCGGTGGAGCGGTGTATCCGCGACTGTGTGCCTGCGTGTCGCGAGCAAGGCAAGAAGTGGTGAAGAGCACTACGCTACGACAAAGCCCGAAGGACACTGAATGGCTCGCTAAACTACGGTGCTGCTCGGCTGCCACTCGGCTCCTACCCCCGGGGTCCCCTACTCCACCGGGCCCACGCTCCTTGAACAAAATAGGACCATTATGACGTTGACCCATGACACATTCGAGCTCGCGATTCAGCGCTCCGATTGGTCCCATGTCTTCGATTTTTTCATCATCCAAGAAGAAGCGGTAGTGGAGTCTGTGCGGCGTCTGCGTAGGGAATGGTTTTTGGGAGGTTAGAGAGAAAAAGTGACAGCTGCTGTAGTTTGTCTTTTGTTTCGTAGTCCATAGTAGCCTAGCAATCACGATCCGCTTTCCAATGCTTTCGTTCGGGAATCTGTATGATATTTTGATGATCTCATTATGGAAATTACAATTGTGGCGATGCTCGCTTCGTCCTACCC